TCATTCAGTGGAAGTCCTAGCCATGTGTACAGGGGAATGGTCATTGCCCCCTTCCCTCCTCAGTTGCTACACCCTGTCCCTGTGTTCCCCTCTAGGTGAAACTGCATGTACCAATGACTGTACTAGTATGCATTGTTTCCGGCTTATGTGTAGAAAGAAGGGGTTTGTTTGGAGCATAGATGCAGTACTATTTTGTATCACTCATTGCAGGTGTGCAACGCACGGCTGCGCATCCTTGTCGTGGACCCACGATTCCCAGGTTCGTGCCACGACTCCTGGGTTTGGGAACACAACCCTTTGCGTTCACGCCTAGCTGCACAGCTGCAGCCTAGCGAATATCTGCTTGGTAAGTATTAATGTGAACTAACTGGGGTAGAGCACTCAGCCGCCATTTTTCTATTGCAGGAGACGCAGGGTATCCCCTCGAGCCATGGCTCCTCGTTCCAGTTCCTGGCAGTCACCCCGGCAACACCTCCGAAGGCCGATTCAACAAGGAGCACGCATCCATGCGCAATGTTGTGGAAAGATGTATCGGAGTGTTGAAGAGCAAGTTCCGCTGCTTGCAGCACTTTCGAACGATGCTCTACAACCCCGATCGAGCAGGGCGAATTATTTATGCCTGCGCTGCTCTCCACAACATTGCATTGGACGCGGGGGACTGGACCTTGGATGAGTATGTTGGGGACATGCCACCAGTTGAGGATGACGATAAGGAGCCAGGAGAGAGCCATGTGCTCACACCCCGCAACGTGCTGCTCAGAGGACAGCAGCAGCGCAGCGCTGTCGTGGGCCTTTTTTGAAGTGCACAGGAACGCGGTAAGCTGTCATATCACACACATAATTTATTCATACTAATTCCAGTGCACCCAGGCAAGACAGGGCTGTGTTTGCCACAACACAAAGTACTTACTCGTGCTTCAACATTATGCATGGTGGCAATAGAAAAATGCTGCATTTTTTTTAAATGTCACATGAATTAGGCAACGGAAACACCCTTTTCTATATCAGTGATCACAGTCACAACAGACTAGATTAGATCAAGCGCATATGAGGGGCACCCTGTGCTGACTGTTGCCATCAAAAGATTGTGGGAACAATGCAGCAACGTCACACAACTTCTTTCACGAAAACGCATAAAAATTGCAGTTACACTAAAAACATGTTGCAAGAACGCATGATACGTATGTCCGTCTCTTCTCATAGTCATTGACTGCAAGCATTCAATTGTACACATTTAGGCTTGCCGAGCACAATGCCGTGCCGGCTTTTTGTTCACTGTCCTCAACTTTGTATAAATATTTAAATAATACTTCATTTGATTTGAATTCCCGACTACAGTTATACTGCAATGCTACAAAATACGTAAATCAAAGCAGCAAATAACATGTGGGTTCTTCTAATGACACACGGCATGAATATTTGGCTCAGCAATCTCGCTGCTCCCAAAGCATACCACGTTCAAAATTAATTCCTGCAATGAGTAATTTACAATGAAAACAGTCGCTGGCATGTTGCTGTGATGATGACCCTTTCCATTAGTGAAACTGTGCGACATACCCACTTGCTAGTTTAGTGATCTCAAAAAAGACTTGGTTGTAGTTGTACCTTAGCCTCATTGCACTGAAATGACAATATCACAGTGTAAGCAATTTTCGGCAGGTAAACATGCTTCATAAAGAATGCAGCGAGCTGCGAAACAGTGTGAGGCTAAAAAATATCACAGTCCAACACTATGTGGTAATGCTGCATAAAAAGCGCAGTGAGCTAGAAAACAGTGAGGCAACACAAATATCACAGTGCTAAAAACATTCACAAAAAATGTCAACTATACGCTCTTGGTCTTTGTGTGGATGACTAGACACCTTTAAGATGGTGGGGGGAGGGGGGAGACGCTGCCTCACGAGTAGGTCGAACATAAATTGAGAAACGCATATATCGAACATCAAAATAGATGAAAGACATGTGAAGAAAAAAACGCTGTACTCCTTGTACAAAGTAAATGCTAACTTAAAGGTAGTAATATGTATTAAATGTAAAAAAACAACGTATGAAATGGTACGCTGACTGCAACACGTAAACATATAAAAACTAATAAACCAATAATGCATGATAAACATTTAAAACATTAAAAACATGATGCAAAACGTAAAATAAACGCATATATCGAACATCAAAATAGATAACTATGTATCTCTTTCCCGCAGAGGGCCCTCAGCCACGGCCCGCTCCTGTGCTGCGGCCGCCCGCTCCTGTGCTGCGGCCGCCCGTTCCAGTGCTGCTACCATACGCCGCGCCAGAGAAGTTAAGTGCAAGGCTGACCTTCTGATCCCCTGCACCTCCTGCAGTGAATCATCATGGTGGAAATGTTTGCATGAGCTGCTGAAGAACTCTCGACCATCTCGTGGCTCGAAGCTGCTGCTGCGGAGAATTGCAACGTGAACAACAATTCCCCCTCAGTTGAAAATTCATTGGCCTGGTGGCATCCTTTGAAAGTGTGAAGCTTCGTGTACAAGCTATGCCCTCTTCGTTTGGATCAACAAACAATTGCTGGAACTACTCTTCATTCATCTCCTCAAATGCATCTCTTACAATCAAACAGCCCTTTTCAGGGCTAACCAACCTTTTGCCCGGCAGTTTATCATTGCAGATGTCAGATACCGTGCCCTCAATACAATGCATGTTTCTTATTTATAGCCCAAGTTGGTTTCAGTCATCATAACAGAGCATCAAAAATGTTCACACCCTTTACGTAAAATTTAAACAAACGGTCTACTCACATCAAGCAACTTCTCAGTCAGCTCGAGGCTCTGGTCGCACTGGGAAGACACCCGCAACAAGGTGTCGGTGCGCCGTGGCCTCTGTCGACGGCGAGGCCGCACAGGAGGCTGAGGCACTGCAAACATGCAGCATTTTCGTCACCGCATGCTGTGGTAGGCTTTAAGTCTATGGCCATGTTGTGGATAATTGGGCAATTCGAATAACATACGAGAGGTTATTTTCTCAAAACACTTTGATGATCAATAACTTACCCGGTGCAGCGGGGCCGCTTTCCAGGTAACTTGGGGGGGCTTCTGTGGAGTAAAGAATAAAAGTTCACGAACTGGGCGCACATACGTCCTATAATCAATAAAACACTAAGTTCTCAGATGCTTACGTGTGGCTGTGTCACTGTCACCCGCTGCAGCCGCTTCAGTGGCTTCCACCTCGACCTCCATTGCAGGAGCGGGAACATCCGCCTGCTGGAAAGTGTCGTGGGCATAATCTTTCAGAAAAAGGGTATTCGTTACTCTGGCTATTTTACAACCTTACCTACTAAACATCTGCGGAAACGTTCTGCAGCTATTCAGTGGTCATTGATATCACGTATTACCATTTTAGTGCATGCACTTGCCCGCAGGCATTTCGTGTCTGTTTGATAAATAAATACGCCTTTTACTGCAAGGGCTGCAAAGCGAGATTTCAGTTGACAAACCTACCTGCTTTTGAATTCTTTTTCCTGCACTATCTTACTGTTCAACAAGGTTCCCCTAAAGGCACCCCTTACAAAATGGGCAAACTCTGTCATGGCACCGCTCAGGAACCCGTGATACTGCGGCGGCAGAGTGCTTACCTGTTGATATTCGAGGGAACCGAAGACGCCACCGAAGCGCGCCAACCCGGTGAGTTGCAACACGCGACCCCGGAAGCCTGGCAGACGACCCCCTCCAGTGCCCCTGGAAATATACACCAATGTCAAAGAACAAATCGCCCGCACATTCAACGGTCACTCACGTTTGTGCCTCTTTGATGGCGGCGGCGTCACGGCGGGCCTCGTGCACCTGCCTGCGCCACCAAGCCTGCCAGTCATCCACGCTTTTCTGCGCAGGGCCTTCAAGGTTCAGCGCGTCGCTGAGCTCTTGCCACAGCCGCCGCCGGTCGGCGACCGTGACGCCATGCTGCAGCTCAATGGCTTTCGCCGCGAGCTGCGGATGTTCGCTCATAAAGGCGAGCACCAGCGCGCGCTGACCCTCGGAAACGCTGATGAGCCGCTGCTGCTGGTGGCTAGCGGTGCCGTTGCCCTCCGCCATGACTGCGCTCGACTGAGCCAACGGCTTCGAAAGTTGCGCCGTTTAGTAGTTTTTTGAAAACAGTAACTGCTTGAAACAAAGTTGTACCTAGCGCCACCACAAATCGTCCTGCTAAATTTAGCGTTGTTTAGAACAATAACAGAAAAAATACGTTTGGATTGTATCGTATTCCTTATTAAACAATTGAAAACTAGTGCCAACACATTTTAATAGTGCGCAATAATAGTCAAACACTTCTGAACATGTTATAAACACTTTTCACTTTGCTATACGGCCCCCAAGTCAACGTCAAAATGATGACGCAAGCCTCCATTTCCCTCATTGGCTGTTCACTTCCTTTCGTCCTCGCGACCGCTGCGGACTGCCCATTTTTTGACGTCACCGACAGACCGCCTCCGTCCGGATTTGGAATTTTTACATAATTGCGCCACAGAACATTATCAAGTGTTCGGCAGTTTTCTCCTCCTCGCCGCATGCACTGCTTACCGTGTCTACCCCTTCGTATTTGGTCCGATATGTCTTGGTTCGCAATACTGCCGTCCTGGTCTCAAACTACTCCGAGTAATATCATAGATCCTTTCCTTGGCAATTTTCTGCAAAGCATTTCGATAGATCTCTAGTGCGGACTTCTTAATCATGCCAATTCTCCACATGTCAGTCTCCGTTTTCTTCACCTTCTTTTTAACTGCTACTTATTTTTGATTTGGCCCCCTGCTGTTTTATAAGTATTTACCCGTCAATTTTCTGGTTTGCTTCCTCCATTTTGTATGGAGGAAGCGAACCAGAACTTCGAAGCGAGCCCTCAACTTCACTATTTAAAGGAAAAAAGAAAAGATAAATCTAGTGGTTAGTTCACTAAATATCACGGCTAGGTGGCGCTAGCCGCCGCCCTGTTTAAAGGGTACAGCCAGATCTAATCATCCATCTATCCGACGACGGCTTCTTCCGAAACTGCCGATAATCCGGCAGGCAAAGGATATCTAGAAAGCTGTGGTGGTGCCTACACCGTGGGTGGTGCGCCTGTCTGTGTGCCAAACATGGCCGGTTTGGCTAGACTCTCGTGCTCTGTGACAACGCTGTTCTCCAAAATATCCATTACAAGAGCTGCGACTGCCGCCACCGAGGCGAGCCTCCTGCGGTGCCGTTCAGCGACGCGTGTGTGCAGACGTTTCAGAAATCGGAAGGTCCTGTCGTGGCCTACCGACTACCTGCCGTTCGAGTGGTCCTACCCGGCGCCTCCTGATGTAATCGCCAAATGCGGTAAGCGCCTTGCAGGGCGGTCACCAGAGGCGCACTGATTTGAGCGATGTGCAGGGGACGGCGACATAGAGCCCACCGACCCGACCTTGCCGCTGAACGGATTCGAACTGTCTGACGAACTGAGAGCGTAAGTTGCTTTCGGACGTTCTTTTGGGGAGTGCTTGAAATTGAGCGATAGCCAACCGATGTTTGTGGAGTCTAATCGATTGGCTGCTGTTTGAGACGCTTCAGAAAAGGCCGTGCGAGAGGCATTGGTGGTGTGCTCAACGCGCCGCACTTTTGTGTTCACAGGGCTTCGCCGGAAGTGAAAAAGGTTTTTAGCTTGCAGCTGGCAAGCCTGGTGAGCCTAAGCCCTCTCCGATACTCAGACGCTATTAACTTTTACTATTCACTCAGTTTTCTTTTTCCCTTAACAGAGGCAGATACACGAAGCAAAAAAGCAGAGATTTGTCAAGCTTTGCCAGAGGCATCCGTACGACTTTGATTCACTTGAGTATAAAGGTGAGTGTGTCCCACCATGCAAGCATCGTCTCTAACTTGCCGCACATCATTTTCAGTTGCTTACAAGACTTTTCTCGTGAGGAAGCTCAAGGAGCTCTACAACATGCAGCCAAAGGTTAGTTGTTTTCCACAGCACAACACCCAGCAGCCCCTAACAACATTGATGTTATTTGTTGTGTGCACAAGCTTGTGTCCTACAAGTAAAGTCAAGGATTCTATTGAGAAAAACAAATATTGATCAGATCAGTACTACAATTAAAATGTTTCTGTAGGGATTTCCATGCATCGAAGTCATCATGTTAGGCCTTGGATTAGTGTTTGTGTCGCCACTCCCGCAGGAACCCTGCAGTGTGCTGTATTTCATGACATGTGGCAACCTTCTGGCTTGCCCTGCTTTCACAATCATTCTATTCGATCTCCCTGGTTTGCATTTTGGCTGCATGTCGTATGAGGAGTGCACTTTGGTGCTGTACAAAGCATATCATAATTTTCATTGACGCAAGTTGTCGCAAAGTGCTTACTAAAAGACTGCTTATTTGTAGGGCTACGGAACACTTGCGTCTTGTGATTTGCATATTATTCAGCGCAGGGATCTGAAAGATGCGCTTGCCAAGGCCATCGAGGGACGGAACAAGGCATTCAAGTATCTGTACCGGTACGACCGCGAGCGCTTTCGCTCCGTTGCCTGCACGCTGCACGTCACGTATACTCCTGCCCAGCTGCACTACATCACGCAGTCTGTTACGAAGAAAGGCGAGCTCCGGCGACTGACAGCAGAGTACTGCACCCGAATAAAGCAAGACAAAATGAACGCATTCCATGAGAAACTCAAGGCTCAGCAGGCTACCTTCCTTGAGGAGAAAAGGAGCACTGAGGAATGGATCAGTGCAGAAACAGAAAGGCTGGGACTATCCGAGAATGATCTAAAAAGCACAGAGTACACGGGCATTTTTAGACAACCGACACACTGCTCATAATAAAATGTATGACATGGTTTTTCCTTTCCTTCATTATTGCAGAAATGTATCATTTATACTGCTCTCCTCTTGAAAGTTCAGTCGTATATCATGGAAAGAGAAATTGGTTTTGACAATAAAAATGCTTCGATTTGGGAAAAAAAAAACGGTGGGTAGGGATGCAGTATTTATTAAACGAAGAGCTGCTAATTTCTTAAGCCTTTTGGACCGAGTCTTCATGAAAGCGACCATATTCCACAGGCCTTCGGTGGTACGCAATGGTGTACTAGATGTCACAGCGTAGCATGAGCTTCTAGTCTCGTGCCTACGCAAGGTGCTGCGGCGCTTGCATGGCCACTCGAGCAGCAATATGTGTGATCTTAGTAACATCCCAACTAGCCATTCTGGTGCCCAAAGACCCCGTAATTGGAAGCCACCATTGGACGTTTGGAACTGTTGGATATTTATGACTTCATAAGTGCACTGCCAAAGTTCCCGTAGCACTATTGCCTTTTCACGACCAATTCTTTTTCAGACAAATCCATGCACTGAAGTTCGATTTTCCTTGCAAAATGGCTTGTTTTGAGAGCCATGCCTCACTATTTTGTAAGCTGCCATATTGTATTTTACGTTGGCATGCCCAAATTTGACTTGTAATGGCAAGTTGTGTGGCCTCCAAAATTGGAAGTGCGCACAAGCTTCGAGTTTTAGAGGCTGTGTGCGATCTTTGGCTGGTAAAACTGTCTGGGGGACGCAACTTTTCTTTTTCAGTCAGTGTTGTCATTTAGCATGTGTTCACGATATGTCAACAGCCAGACTTGCGCAGTGATGGAAGTGCTGCTCCAAACATTAATGTTCATTAGTAATTGCTCCAAAGCTACTCTGAAATGTCTCCGAGAGAATGAGAGTTACCAACATATTCTTTGATCAAATCATAAAAGAATCTGTGTACTTTCCCAGTGTGATACTACTGTGCACAATTATGGGCTCCGATACCATTTTGTGCGATAGAACCGTTATATTGACCATGTAGGCCATTTGGCTGTTCTTTTTTTTCTCAGCTGGATATGCAGGCTAGTGTGGTGAAATGTGAAAATGAGCCGCATTGCTTTTATTTCATACCTCTTATCTACTGCACGTTCGACAACACTTATATGGGACTGCGGTTACTTCCAAAATTTTTTCAGTTTAATTTGATTTCTGCCTCAAATACTAGTATTTTAAGTTGTAGCTCATTTCACCGAACATTTTTGACAACCTGCCAATGTTTGCTTCATGAAATCTGCTGCGATTGTTGTCTGGTAAATACATTTCATTATAAAAATATTTACCAAATGCTTTGCTGATGCTCAGAACTCCAATTAATGCATGGTAAATTTAATATCTGCTCCTAAAACATTAATAGCTGCTCTAAACTATCATTTCTACTCCAAAACCTCTTATGGCTGCTCCAAAGTATGCTCCAAAAAGTAAAAAGATACGTTCACCACTAAAGACATGAAAGAGGTCGATGTGATCATGTCGATCTCGCCACTCTTACCCAAACTGCCGAAGCAGAGCAGCTCCCGGCGTCCAGTTTGCCAGGAGCATGAGCTCTCGTGCCTCGACGTTTCCAGGGAGGGAGGGGGGGCAGATTTCGGGGCAAAGATGGTGAAAGCACACAAGGCCATTTCACCATTTTTGCCCCGAAATCTGCCTCCCTCCCTAGGAACGTGTCAGTCTAGTTTGAACAAAAACGAAACAACTATTTCTCCTTTTTGTATGAATAACTATAGAAGGGGCCAGATCTGGGGGCTCTCTCAGCCAGAGTCCCCCTTTCCTTACAAGTAATTGCTTGCCACCCAAGCTCACCAACAATGTCCCTCCACGACCTTCAGGGGCACGTCGGCGTAAGCCGCCCTATCCACCTCTTTTTTCTTCTTTTTGTACTCTTGAAATTTTAGTTGCTTTAATTGCCTTCTGCTGTCTAATTTATGTCTTGCCCAAACGTACCACACATGCACCACTAAGCGGGGCCTCTCCCACTCTCCTCTCTTTTGCTTGCTTCAGCTAATGAGACGAGAACTGTTTGGCACAGCATATGTCACCACTGTAAAACATCACTAATTTGTCGCTCTCTCCCTTTTCTTTTTTCCACCACCATGTCAATGCGGCATCTTCGCATAGAGTGGCACTTGTTCGCAAACCCTGTGAAGACCGGTCCAGCGGTCGAAACCGTTCGAAATAAAATTAAGACAACCGCTAAGTTGTCTCTCATATCTCTCTCTCTCTCTCTCTCACACACACACACACACACACACACACACACACACACACACACACACACACACACACACACACACACACACACACACACACACACACACACACACACACACACACACACACACACACACACACACACACACACACACACACACACACACACACACACACACACACACACACACACACACACACACACACACACACAGTATAGCTGTCATGGTAGCTCAATGGTAGAGCATCGAACGCGTTATTCGAAGGTCGCAGGTTCGGTTCCTGCCCACGGCAAGTTATCTTTTCACCCACTTTTCTTTCTTCGCATTTACATTAGAATTCGTGCTAATAACTTCCCCTATACTTACTTGGCATTATTCTCTGTCAAATCTCATTAATATTGCATCAAAACAGCGAAAAACGAGCCCTTAGGTATACACTTCTTTTCCTTATTCATTAAGGAGGGTCTCGTAATGGCACACTTGGTGCCGTTAGGTTGTATACGAGAGACTATTGGTCAGCTGCCGGCTAGTAATAAGTGACCTAGCTAAGGGATTGGGCGCAGTAGCGTGTGTGCCTTTTGTAATGGGGTACCGGCTTTCAACCAGAGAGTCATTGTAATAATCGCATATTATGACACCCCTTGGCAACGAACGCTTGTACTACGCATTATTACTGCAATATTTAATGTTGCATTGAGAAGCATGTATACAGGACGCGCGTGTTTGTGAAGCATGAAAACTACTTTCACTGCATTTCCAAGCAGAGGAAGTTCTTTTCACTGTTTTCACAAGCAGAGATGTGACCGTGTCATTCTGCTTCTGGACGCCGGTTGGTGCAGACGCAGGATCTAAAGCTCATCCCGAGCAGCGACAGCGGCCGACGCCGGCCGCGGTACAGCGTCTCCTCTCATTCCAAAGGACTACAGGATTATTCTGCCTTCGTTGCCATCAGGTGAAGCGATGCGTCGAGCAGTAGCTCTACACTGCGACGTCAGCGGCCGACCGTACCGCATCGACGACTTCAGGAAATTTCTCAAAGATTTAGGCGTCATACAGCAAGTAAGTGGCATTGGAGCATATCAGATGTCGCACGTGTGGCTATTGAACATGAAGACCGTGGAAGCAAAGAAAGCGCTGACAGACGCAGGCGTTATCAAAGTTAAAGACCGGGTATGTCTCGTCATTGACCCGACGCGGCCAGAAGTTAAAATGAAATTGCACTGGCTAGCGTTCGATGTTGCAAAAGACGCTATTCGATGTGCCTTCTATGAATACGGCGACGTCAAGGAGGTGACCGATGGAGAGTCGAGGATTTTGAAGGAGTTGAATCGACCACTCGTGTAATACGCATGCAACTACGAGATGGCATTTCTGTGGATCAACTGCCCCATCAGATGCGTATTGGCAGCAGTACGGCACTGGTCGTAGTGCCGGGAAGACCGCCTTTGTGCTTGCGGTGCCGAAGTACGGGGCATATGCGACGCGATTGTAAGGTCCCAAGGAGCAGCCAATGCCACTATTTCGGTCATGAGCAGGACGAGTGTAACCGTTCATACGCACGAGCTGCAGGGCGACGACCAGAGACTCAACAGAGTGAACTTCTCATGGATGAGGAGGAATCTGAACAAGCGTCTTTGCCTGCGACACCACAGAAGCAGACGACATCGGACGACACGCCGGTGCTGAAGAAAAGCACAAGTTTCTTCAGCCCAGGACACGAACGCCGGGCGGACGATGGGAAGTCAAGCGGCCCCAACGACTAGCGAACAGACGCGTCCTGCGCCTGCGATGCATGCCGCGTCGCAGCTGCAAGCAACGCGCCCTGAAACGCCGGCGTCCCAGGCCAACGCTGCTTCGACTCCTCTAAACTCGGCTTCACAGCACTCTTTGGCGAACAAAACAAACGAAAATGAGGATTTGCCTAGTGATCTGGATACCTTAAGCATGGAATTAGAATCGGCGTCTGCAAAACGCCGTCGCGATTCAGACGACGGTGCTCAAGTAGACGAAATGCAAGTAAAGTCGGAAGTGCAGTGGAAGGTGGTCAGTGGAGGCAAGAAACGAAACGCTGCCCGACAACGGTCGTCGTCGCTTAGACGCGACGATGGCCGCTCAAACTAAAGGTGAACAACATGGATCCACCCTGGACGACGAGAGCCCAGTAAGTGAACGTGCAGGGCTCTCAGCTTGGACCCGCTCACCGATCACGTCGCTGAGCGGGTTCGTGAAAGCAGCGACGCTCAATGTACGAGGACTGGCTTCCAGAAAGAATCAGACTCAGCTCTACAGACTAGCCATGAACCAAGACCTGGACATTATTGCAGTTCAGGAAACCAAAGTGGAGAGCGTGGACGCCACCGAGAGCCTACTGCAACGTTTCACCGGACGCTACACCGCCAGCGTCAGTCATGCAGTTGGTAGGTCGGCAGGCTGTGTGATCTTTGTGCGGAATAGTTTAGGTGCCAGTGTTCAAAACGTCACGTCTGACTCATCCGGAAGGTTTGTTGTATGTGATTTGACCTTCTTTTCTCTTAATTGGCGAGTGATTTGTTTATATGCACCTCTTAAAGTTGATGAACGGTGTGTAACATTCGACAAAATTCGTACCTATTGTGAATGCGATCGCATAGTCATCCTTATGGGAGATTTTAGTTGTGTGATCAGTGCCGATGATAAAACAAGTACATTCAATTTCAACGACTCAAGCACAGTCGCGTTAATGAATCTAGTTTCTGACTTGGACCTTGAGGATGTTGCAGAGTGTATTGGTAAAGGACCAACACTGTGTACGCA